TTAAAATTTCTGCATATAATGAGAAATAGTTCACATTCACAGTGAAATACATAAAGGGCTGTTTTCAGGAATCCAGTTATAGCAGGCTGCTCTCACGGAGCTTCTGCTTATGCACTACATTTTGTCATCTACTTAGTAATATAATTCTATCCTATTAGGCAGACACCCCAGTACTGCTATTTATCCTCCTGTAAACCCAAACAGGCAGTCAATTTCTGCTTGGTGATAATATTATAATGGTCTAATTATTTTTGTAGTACTTACAGTGGTTAGAGCAGATCTCATTTCCTGGTAGTGTTGTGTGCCATTAACTGGAATAACAGGTAGCTGTGTAGAATACAATGGAAATTCCACATATAAGAGAAAGCATTACATACTATTACAGAGTCATCTAGTTTTGTTTCAGTTGTTTCATAGTCTAATTGGTTTGTTTATTTCATTTTTATCAACAACTACTACATTGGAGATAGTGCTCTGACACTATGTGCTGCAAATAGTGAATTAGGGCTTTTTATATTTAAACTTCAGTTAAGAAGCACATAAAGATATTATGTGTCTACAGTTCTATGATGAAGGGTTTGTAGTGAAATCCTCTTAACTCATCTTTGAAGGTATTCATGTGGATGCTTTCCTGTGAAGATGAATAGCTGGAACATTGGCCACAATGGAGAGTAAAAGTCAGAATTTACTAGTAAGAGTAATTCTGTTAGTTAAAGGACAGACTTAAGCGTATGTTGGTATTACAATGATGAGGATAATCAGATTTAACCTACAGTGATGTATCTTGTGCAGAATGAGATGTTCATGACTTTGCTCTTTTATTTTGTCTGCAACGAGCAGTGCTTTCAAATCAATATTGAACAGAGTATTTAAAAGACATTTTTGTCATCTCTGTGCAAGGACAGATAAAAGGAAACACAACTGCTAGTGAAAACGTACCTTTGCTGACTTTTTTCACTATTGAGACTCTGAGACAGATTAAGGTAATTTTACTAAAACTGTGTGTTGATGATAGGCATAAAATACACTGCATACAGCTCTAGGTATATGGTGCTGCTTTTGCTCAAAACTCTAGAAGCTCATATAGTACCTGCCAAACACTGAAAATTAGCAAATCTGAAGCACTTCCTGATGGTATGATTGCATTGGGAAGTTACAGGCTTGTACTCTGAGAGTTTGACATATTCTGATGTGAAGAACTGGGCAGAAATGAACTGATGAAATTAGGTTCTTAATCTGATTGCCTGAGCATATTAGCAACAAATCTGTAGCATGTATTATTTCTAAATTTTATAATGGATATGGTTAGCTTTTGATACTCTGTTGTCTTTAGTAGCTTGTTACTTGATAATAGATTTTTTACTCTTGATTGTGGAGAGCAGTAACTCATTTGTACAAAGAATTTATATGAATTGTGAGGAATATGAATTTAGACTCACCCTGATGTTGCTTTAATACATTTTATAAATTGACCTTTTTTACTTAGGATTCGTTCCTTCATGTTTAGTATGACCGTATGAGAAGGCAGGTGTTTTTTTTAGTATATCAAACTGAGCCTATCTTTCAGTTCTTCCTTCAGTAAGTTCTTAGAAATTCTCAGTCTTCAATATTGGAATATTGGTTGATTGAGGGTAGGTTTCTTTTAGGGTGGTCTTACGTGTTTTTTTCTGTAAGCTTCTTGATTTACTATTCTCATGCAAGTAATGCCACAGTTTGTCAAGATTGGATGACTTTCACATTCATAAAGGCATATAAACATACTTACTAATTAAAAGATGATTCCTATGTACAGAGCACTGAGTTCTCGGTATATAAACAAAATAATTTTCGTCAGCTTGTTTGCATGTGATGGAGGGGGGAATTAGTTAAAAATGATTGTTAACTGTCTGCTGTAACCAGAATAATTCTCTTTACATCTGTAAGAAATTACACATATTTCAATGGAGTGTTTATCTTCCTTCTCTCTGGCAATACCTACTTTTTGCCAGTTACCAGGCTATGTCGGTAAGCTCTCAGATTAAAGGAAGTGTGATCCTTACCAAGTCCACTTTGCAATAGTATTCTGTTCTTTAAAGATTTCATTGGAATTTAAAATTCACTATTCCAAGTTTCACCCCATCAAACTTTGGAGATGTAATGTGTGCAACTATCTTTTGTACAAAACAAGAGGGCATTTCCAATTGGCTTTAGAGTTAAGGACATCCAGTCAGCTCTTGATTTTCCATCCATGTGTTACCCAGCCTGGGAGTAAAGGGCATCATGGGCTCCGTGCATGCCAGCAGCACTATTGGTGTACTCAGGATGAAATATTTGCTTGCTCGCCAGAGGGGTGCTGGTTGGCCCAACATGAGAGCATTTGCTGTGTTGTGAGAAAAAAAAAAAATCACTCACCTTTGCTTTCATCCTTGCACTTTAAAAATGTGTTCTGGCAGTCTAATTTTGAATACCTAGATGATCCATGGTTTTGAATTATATGGTTTATACAAACCCTTGCTACTCCTATATGCTTTAAACAGACTGTGTTTTGCTGTTACGTGCATTGCTTTTTAAAAATTGCCAGAAATTTGTCACTGAAGAAAGAATGTATAAAATGATTTTATTCACCTGTTTAATTGGAATCAGAATATTAAGAAAATTGGAGGCCAGTAACTACTGGTCTTCAGGGGTCAATACTGGGTTCTGATCCTGTGGAACATCTTCATTAGTGAGCTAGGTGGTAGGGAAGAGTGCACCCTGAGCACGTTTGGTGATGACACCAAAGTGGCAGGAGGGGCTGATACACCAGAGGGCTGTGCTGCCATCCAGAGGGACCTGGACAGGGTAGAGGAATGGGCTGACAGGAACCTCATGCAGTTCAACAAGAGGAAGTGCAAAGTCCTGCACCTGAGGAGGAACAACTCCAGGCACCAGGACAGGCTTGGGGCTGCCCAGCTGGGAAGCAGCTTGGCAGAAAAGGCCTTGGGGAGTCCTGGTGGACGCAAAGTTGAACATGCACCAGCAACGTGTCCTTGTGGCAAAGGCAGCAGAATCCTGGGCTGCATTAAACAAAGTACAGCCAGCAAATGGAGGGAGGTGATCCTTCCCCTCTACTTGGCACTGGTGAGGCCATGCCTGGAGTACTGTGTCCAGTGCTGGACTCCCCAGTACAAAAGAGACATGGACACACTGGAGAGAGTGCAGCAAAGGTCCATGAAGATGATGAAGGGACTGGAGCATCTCTCCTGTGAGGAAAGGCTGAGATAGCTGTGACTGTTCAGCCTGGAGAAGAGAAGGCTCAGGGGGATCTCACCAATGTGCATAAATACCTGCAGGGAGGGTGCAGAGGGGACATAGCCAGGCTCTTCTCAGTGGTGCCCAATGCCAGGGCCAGAGGCAGTGGTCACAGACTGAAACACGGGAGGTTCCTCCTGAACATCAGGAAACACTTTTTTCACTGTGAGGGTGACTGAGCACTGGCACAGGTTGCCCGAGGAGGTGTTGGAGTCTCCGTCTTAGAGATACTCAAAAGCCGTCTGGACATGCTCCTGGGCAACTAGTTCTAGGTGACCCTGCTTGAGCAGGGGGTTGGACCAGATGACCTCCAGAGGTGCCTGCCAAGCTGAACTATTATTATATGAATCTGTGAAAATAGAGTGGTTTCTGGCTTTCTTGTAGTATTACTGTGTTTATAAAAAAAAAGGAATGAAGCAAAATGGAAACTGACTTTTATCTATAGTTTATCAGGTGTTTATTTTCTGGGAGTTTTCATTAAGCGACAACCTTTAAAGCCATCCTATCTACATCATTTGCACTAAAAGAAACCTGATCCCAGGCAAAACGAATAAACAAAGCAGTTGGCAGTTAAGATGCTAATCCATTTTACAATTACTCCAGCATAATATTTGAAGGACTTTACTAGTTACACTTCATAACAGCAGACTTTTTTCTTTAATATTCTCTTACCTTTTTTGTTACAGAGTGAAAGATAAATAGAAATGGCCTCCTAAGAAAACCAATATGAAACTTTTAATATGCCTTTTCACATTGCTAAGAAGGGCAAGTGTATAAAATTGTGTAACAGTACATTACTTGCAAGAGAAAATTGCTATAGTCAATTCAGTGCAAAGTGAAAAGAAAGGAAGTCTGAAGCAATGGCTAGCTACTCACTGGCAAATAAATAGTGTGATGTGGAAAGCTCCACTATGATTTTTTTGTCTTTGCCTAGAACAACAAAATATATTTTAGAAAAAGTCTTTAATACAGTTGTATCAATCAGAACATGGCATTGCAGTGTTTGTATGATGTATCCCCTGCTTATCTTTGTCCTAAATCACTTTTTCAGGAACTTTTTTTGCAAACACATTCTCTTTTGGAAATCCTCCATGCTGACCCCTTCCCTGCCTTAGACAAGAGGACAGCAACTTTGTTCCTCCGAGGACAACAGCTTTGTTCCTCCAAGGCAGAAGACTGTGAAGTCACAGTAATAGTTGTTTGCTTCAGTTGCTAGTGTCCAATATGCAGTTAACATTGCCCAAGAAGTAGAACACTTTGTTACCCCTCCAAACACATCAGCGTAGGATTTGAGAAAAACCACTGCAAATGATCAATTAAAAATCCGTTACTCTCATATAAGTAATAGGAACTAACCTTTTCATTCACAGTTTTTATAAACCCCTACAGCAACCATTCCATAATTAGAGAAATACATTTATCACAAATTATCAATTGTTTTTATCAACAATTTTCATATAAGTCTGTATTTAATGTACACTGGTGAAGATTTTGGGTACATAAAAAACATGCTGTGCAGTTTTCACTTTTAAGCACCTAGTATTTAAAGTAAGTTAAAGAAACTGCATTTTGAAAGGTAAGTGAGTTCCTTTTTCTTAGGCTAACCTCAAACTGGTGGGTTGAGGAGAACAACTAATGACTGCATTTTGTTTGGTCTCACACACCTAATGAGAGATAAATGTGAATATCTTATCTGTCATGTCTCAGTGTCCATCTGTCTGCTTTTCTAGGTGGTGATTTCCTGTCCTTTTTAAGAAAAAAGAAGGATGAGCTAAAAACCAAACAGTTGGTGAAATTTTCATTAGATGCTGCTTCTGGTATGGCATATCTTGAATCTAAAAATTGTATACATAGGTAAGGAAGATATTTTTTTATCACTATAGTAATTTTGATCATTGGAAATGCTAGCTCTTTTAAGTGTATATGGTGCTTACCATCAGCAGGAGCGATCCCTACAATTTAAAAAAAAGATTACACTTTTTCTGAAAGGAGATCATTAGTGCTTCTCTAATTCAAAACTGTTCTGTTCATTTGGGTAAAAATAAGTACTACATTATTTGATCTGTATAGTCTGTTGCTATTAATATAAGTTAATAATGATTTTTCTTCATAATAATTTGCATTATAAGGAGCATAATTCATACAGTGACAATGAATCATGGCAAAAAGCAATCCGTGAGGCTTATATCCTGACTGAAATTTACCAATACTTGCAAAGCCAACAAAGAAGTTGTTACATTTGAAGTATGATTCAGAAAAATCTACAGGTTTCTCAGATAATAAAGGGAGAAAAACTAGAGTTCTGTATATTAAAATATTAATTGCCTGGACTGCTTTCTCTAAAATATGGGAAGATTATCAGGCATTATGCTCTTGGGATACCTTATTTCTGTTCCTACCATTGCCTTTTGTTGTTTCTTCTCCAGCTTGACTCTGCCATGGAGCTGCTTATACTCAGTGTGTATCAAAGGAAATGTACTTAATTTCCGTCTATTTTTATGTCAGAATATCCCACTATATACCCCACTACAATTACATGGCTGAAATATGATACATAAACATTATGATAATCCACTGTACAAAAAAATTATGAAGAACAAGTTTTCATTTGTAATATTGATGACTTCTGCTTTGCGTTGTAGAATGTTTGTAGGTGAACTGTGTGCCACTTCACTTACATAATCAGCCCATTTCATATTTAACAGCTTCAGATGAATGCTGCTGTTGGAGACCCGAGTGGCATTTCTTGTAGCTTTTTATCAACAATGAATCGTTCAGTTGTAATCATGCAGGTCAAGACGTAGATTTATCTTTAAAAACATTGCCCCAACAAGAGTAAGCTCAAAAACTATTTATAAAATCTTACAGTATTATCGTAAGTGTAACATATTTTTTTCTCTTTTTTGTGTTTGACTTGATTTAGGGAATCTTAAATAGAATAGTAACTTTATGCTGTTTCCAAAACTTGGAAAACTATTCTGAAATACAAGTTAATTGAAACACTTCTGGAAGATCATGATACATAAGAAACACAGAAAGAAAAAAAAACCAAACCAACAACTCGCTATATAAAACTATGGAATATTCCTTTGGGGAAACCCCAGAAAAGCATTGTAAGCACCATGGAGGAAAATAAGATTAAGGTCCCAGCATTCTGTCACGGTAGAATGTGTTTCAACCTGGTTCTGTTTGCCAAGAAAGTAACGACATAAAAATCGGAGCAAGTAACGCATTAGTGATTTACACTAGCCTAATAAATGCTCTAATGCTTAATAATTTCTGTAACTATCACATCAATGTTAAGTCAGAAGTGCCTGTTTAAAAATCCTGTCTTCCTAGAAAATAAAACCAAGGGGAAAGGCAATAGCTGAATAACCAAAATTTATTAGAACTGTACTGTGTAATGTCTTAGGTGGTAACTGCGATTACTGAAAAAGAGTGTGGAATTTATTTATCAAATTATAGTGCAATGCCTGCAAAATATAAATAATTTTAGAAACAATTAATTTTGGAGAAGTGCTATCTCCACATCCCCCTTTTGGTGTTTTTTTTTTGTTGTTAACTCTGGAAAAAGGATATGCCTGCTTAACTGTGTGGATTGCTATGGTTCTAAGTACTGTAGATGACAATCTGTCTTCAGTGTATCTCTGAAAGACTCACTGGCGGTCAGCAGTGAGTAGGAAGAGCTTTTGCTATGGTGTGTTTACAGAGCTAATAGTGGTTCAGGAAACATATGTCAGAGAGAAGATATATGTAGCAATTTCTTACTATATGAAGATTTCATAGATTCATTGTTTTCAGTTAGAAAGCTGGATACAAATGTGTGATCTAGATCTCGAATCAGGAAAAAGAGCTGTAATCTAATCTGTTTTGTTAGTGCCATGGACTTGCCAGTCAGACAGCTTGGGTTACACATACTATGGTACAAGTAGGGAAAAAGTTCTTTCCCACTGTTCACTTTTTAAATTTCAAAATCTTCACAAAATTTGTTTATTATTATCACAGATTGTCACAGGAGGTTACCAGAGAGAGCTACCACTTTCCTTAAAGGCAGAAACAAAATTTTTAGTAAACCTGTCCTGAAGAAAACTACAGTTTTAAAATGCAGCCAAGCAAGCAAACTGTATCTTCAGGAAAACTGCTTACTTTATGAAACACACAGGTTAATAAATCAAAATATTAATTTCCAGTATTATTTTGCCAATGTTAATTTCTGGGATATTCAGGATTAGTTTTGGTATTCTGTGGTTGGCCACAATATGTGTTTATCATATTTATGAGCTAATTCTTCTGAATTTGATAGGTAAATGTAATGAAAATATCTGAATCAGGACAACAACCAACCAAGTTTAATGATTTTAGCAGTAATGATAGAGGCACTTCTTGGGGGGGGGGGCGTTGAGTTACTAATACAGGTTAACTGGCAAATGCTTACTCTAGGAAGGTAGCTCATGAAGGTTTAAAATGTGCTTTAGCAAAGGATAAACTGCATTTTAGTAGGCTTAGCATGCATAAAATTTTTCTAGGTCATTTCCCTGTTTGAGGAGTTTGAGCATTGATCCAGGATTTCTGGGCAGCCTGGGGGATCACTGGAGATAGATTTGTGTAGAAACCCTGTCTGCCACAGCAGCACAGAGCATCTGTTGCTTGCTGGGTACTTTGAACCTGTTGCACACCAGTGGGTGCGACACTCGTGGTGCTGTGCTGCAAATACACTAAACAAGGGAATGACAGGCTAGCAGGGATAAGTCAAACTGTCTAGTGTTTTGTAAGCAAGCTCTTAGGTGTTCAGGACTCAGAACCCCACTGGAATTTCAACCCCTCCTTATCCGAGCGCTGAAGGTGCAGCTATGTGACTGCATAGTCTGTTCAAGGAATTTGGGAGCCTTTGTTCCTTCCTTTTTTGATCAGGTAAGACAAATCAGTCTTGGGTAAATTTTATGTTGAGAGCATGTAGATTAGAATGGAACGATTTAACTCATGGTAGGAAGAAGATTTAGCAGTATGTAAAAAGAGCAGTAATTCTTTGAAAGAACGATAAACTTGTTCTTTTTTGTCAGAAACTTCATCAGCTGAAAGTGGTTCTCAGGTAAAAGAGGTAAGAAATTTAACTAAAGAGCAAATGGACTAAGCAGTGGAATGTTTTTTATTTTGTTTAGAAGTCCATAGGCTTTGATTACTAGTGCTTAAGAAGGATCAGTAATATATAATTAGAAGTAGTTTCTATTTGTAGGTTGCAGCAAAACAAAATTGTTTTGTTTCATGCTGTTGTTTTTTCTGCAGTATTCTATTTGTTATTTTAGAGATTTGTTCAGAATCCTCATGTTCTGGTAGTAGTTTAGGCAACCATAGTTTAGTATCATGTACATTTGACTTGCTGTTAACGTGAAACTGAAGGCTGCTCAGCAGTTTATTAAAATTATTTTTAATGCCACTTTTTAGTTAGAGCTGCACTGGCTATACTTACTGTTTATATTTAAAAATTCTACCTAAATCTGTACTGGATTTCTGAAATTGCTATTTGAGTTATATTTTGATTTAGCCTTTCAGTAGTAGGCCAGTGCAGCAACTAATCTGCTCTTTGTTTTATATTTTTTTATGTGCTATGGTGTTCCAGTAGCTGCAAATAGGAAGTTAAAATTTGTCAGACTTAGAATGCTTAATGCATGTGAGTGATTATATGATCTGCATTTTCACCTCCTCTAGCGTCCAGATATCACTTGGTCTTTGCTCTCCCTTTGTTCTGTTTAAACAGCAGAAATGAGTGGGCTTAAAGGAAAAAAAAAAGCTGCATGAAAAGATGTTATTAAAAGAAATAAAATGAGTGGTTGAACATATGCAGGAGAATATAGTAATTTCATCTCCATTTAATTAACATGAAGTTGAAGAATTGTTTCTTGCTTTTCATTGTTACCATATCCTATTGTTTAGATAGTTCAATTTTTTCTGTTAATTAGAAACACAAGATAAGGATGGAGATGTGATAATTTCAGTTGGTTCAATAAGCATTTGTGAGTGGTCTTCTTTTCCAGTATATGATTTGTATGCGATGAATGCATTTGTCCATAATTTATGTTTAGTTTCCAATCCAATCCTGTGGGAGTATAGGAGAGAAGCTGCAGCTACCCGATTCAGAGAATTTGGACATACCTAGTGTATGTTTTATTTTCTCTTTACCGACATCATTTTATAATGCAAATAATTTGAATTATAGAACTCAATTGGAAAAATATTTTAATATTGAAAGAAGAAAATATGTGTACTATTTCCTCTCGTTTTATCATTTGATAGTCAGTACAACCTTTCAAAATCAAAGATACAGCTAGGTCTTGAAAATATTTCTGTGTGGAAAATTGTGTTGCAGCTTTATCTACAAGAAATACATACATAATTCTAATTTAAACTAGCAGAAATATTTTTCTTTTTTTCAGTTGGCTACTGTGCTCCTTGATAGTGTTCTGTGAACAGTTACAGTGCTTAACTTGAGAAGCAGCTTGATTTTTACCTTGTTTAAGAGCTTTTACAAATGCATTAAGAACCAGTTTATTTTTTTAAATAATTCAGTGTGAACCTTATAAGGTTCAACAAGGCCAAGTGCAAGGTCCTGCACCCGGGTTGGGGCAACCCCCAGTATCAGTACAGGTTGGGGGAACAAAAGATCAAGAGCAGCCCTGACAAGAGGGACTTGGGGGTGCTGGTGGATGAAAAGCTGGACATGAGCCGGCAATGTGCGCTGGCAGCCCAGAAGGCCAACCCTACCCTGGGCTGCATCAGGAGAAGTGTGGCCAGCAGGTCGAGGGAGGTGATTCTGCCCCTCTACTCTGCTCTGGTGAGACCTCACCTGGAGTCCTGCA